AGAGGCGTGGAAAGGGCTGGGCGGCGGGCTCGTGCGGGCGGAGCTCCTGCCGCGACGGCGGAGGAATAAGAGCTCGCCGGCGAGGCTCTAGTGTCCTAGGAGTTGAGCTGGCCATGGCCACCGCCGCGCAAGCTAGTCTACACGCTGCAGGGCTGGCTGGCTGCTGCCCGCCATGGCCGCAGCCGTGCCCAGGCTTGTGCTTGGTGGGGAATTTCAGAGGTAGGAGTCGTAGGAGATGGAACTGACGTGTGGGCCCCTTAGGTTGACGGTCAAAGTAACGGTGTTGACTATTTCAGCCCGGACTGGTGGGCCTAGCTTGTCATAATCAGGTTTAATCGACCATTTTTCATACTTGGTAGTTTTTAGCAAAGGATTAGCAAAAAAATGATAGTTTTTGGCACAAATTCATAAAATGGTAGTTTGTGGGCACGGATCCACGAATTGTGGTAGTTTTTGGTTAAATACTTGAAGAGGGGAAACATGTGCCCTCTATCTCACATCATCAACCAGGAATGGTTGCAACTCTAGAGTAACAAGACTGGTGGTCCATTTCAAACAAGTGACACATCAAGGAAGAGAACGACCTACGAGCGGCGCCATTGCAGGATACAACCACTGAGATGAGATCAGATAATGGGTTTCACCCTGAAGAGAAGTCTGAGAAAACTCGAGGCAATGTCTTCGACAAGAGAATATCGTGTGAAGTCCACCATTCCCAGGTTCTACCATGGAAGGTCGGACATAGAGTTTCCTCCATAGAACCCAACACTCAAAGAGCACTACCTAACAGAAATCGCCCTGCGATGCCATCACATGTTGATCCATCAATGCATAGCTGCACACACCTGCAAAGTACAAACGTCGATCTCATAAGGCAATTGGGACCGTGCCCATGAAACACATGTTGTCGTGTTGTGCCTAACAAAGTCAGATATCAACGTCGATGACACCGAGTCCAGACTGCCCACGTAGAGACGAATTAGGCTAGTTACGCGGGGCACCTCCAATGAGGGCCAAACCCATGCATGGAACCCAAAACCAACACATGTGATTTTTTAGACTCTAAATACCGTGTTGCAAACAGACCAGAGAGAACTGGTTGGTTTTTGTACAAACTAAGAGAAAAACCAGAACCAATTGAACCAGTGACAGGCACATTGTTAGTTTGAAAGTGGAAAACAAACTGCAAATGCTAGGAATCAAATCATGGTCGTTAGGGGAACATGTGAAGCCTTCGCTTGGCCCAAGAACCGCTTGGCTTCGATCAATTATGTGTCAAAACTAAGGAACTTATCTTATTTGACCTTGTCGCATTACTATATTAGCCTACAAAACAGATTTTTTATAGCCTAATAAAAACCCGGCAAACGAACAAGTGAACGAGTGGTTTGACTGGTGAAAACCTGGACCGACAGGCTCACCAGTTCGGTCATCAATCCGGTTTGTAAGACTATGCTTATGTGCGGACTGATATATAATTTTTGGGGTTGATAGTGGAAAAGTCGACAGAGAAGGATCAACATATCCTTGTTTAAATAGGTCCACTAGACCTTAGCTACTTAATTTCACTAGAACAATGGCCGTGTGTTGCAACGGGATATAAATATTCTAGACGTTAGTACGTTAGCTTGTGATGCCCATAATATATGATTTGTGTAAATAAATGGTCATCAATTTTTCCGTGATTTACCTTATATTTTGATCAGAAGTGATTTACCTGCCCATATTATACGATTGTGTAAATAAATGTTCATCCAATTCTGCCGTGATTTACCTTATATTTTGATCACAAGATTGGTAAGTAAATTAAAGTGAAATTGGTTCAGAAGGTAAGTAAATTAAGATGTTTGATTATTACACGGGGAAGGTTGGACGAAGAGGTGGTGGAAAGAAAGGTGAAACGGGAACCTTACATTCTTTTTAAGTAAGTAGAGATGATATTTAGCACGGACGGTAGAAGATTGAAATGATGGTATCAATGCGCCGCATTGAAATGAGAGTGGCTATATCGCTATCAATTAAGGTGGGACAGATCAGCCATCTCCACAGATTGCTAGTTTGCTGAAAACAATCCATCTTTCGCCCACCCAGGGGTTAGGGTTATCTTTTGAAAGAATCTCTCGTATCAGCAGATACGAGAATCGGTCGTGCATATTATCATATAGAAATGTGAATCGAGATGCATCTGAATGAGCGTACAAGGTTGGCAGTACCCCCCTGTGAATACTCCGCCAGTATGAAAAGTTCTTAATGCACTACCATGGGGGTGTATTATAGACCCATTTCTTTACCCAATTTTTTGGTGGGCTGCAAGAAATATATCCTTGTGGAGGTGATCTTTCATGTTGTGGCTTTCCTGGGCAATGTGGAAAACCCGCACCAAAACTTGCTTTGAAAAAATATTTTAACATAAGCTCCTATGGAGCTGATTTGTAATATGTGTGATTTCTCATCCATGGAAAAGTTTGCAAAAGGATGCTGGCAAAAGAAACTTGCTGGAAGGGGTGACGACACCCCAACATACGTGGTGTAAGCTCACAAAGCGGCGTATGCATCAATGGCTGGTACAACCTTCGAATGAGGGGGCGGATGAAGAAACTTCATATGAGGAGTATGATAGTGATCAGGTTCTTCAGCCATGGTGTCATGCTGGAAGAGGGATCGATTGCGTTCGTTGCTGCTTGTGGTTAATATCTGTTGGGTGCCATGTGCCCTCCCATGTTTCATCCCTCATCTTAATTATTGCATTTGTAGAGTGAGAATCAACACGGAGAGGTCAATATTGGAGATGTCTTGAGATAAAGTGCGGCGACACACCATTTTGCTTGCTATAAGCATTGGATGCAATAAAAAACTTGTTAGTGACAGTCTAGAGGATTTATAGTCGAACAAACATATCATGTTAGTCACGTTCATAAGACAAGGTATCAACAAACGAGGAATGCGTCGGCTGCTTGTTCTGGAGGTAGTAGTGGTCGTTTAGTGGTCTCGAAATCTCGATGTAATTTTTATTATGTTTGAGATGCTTTGTACTTTCAATGAACTTTTATAATAGATCTGATTCCTTTTGCAAAAAAAGATACACATATGGCAAATTGAGAGAGCTTTGTGTTTTGGAGAGACAAATCATGTGAAGAATTATTGAGCTTACATATATCATTAACCGTGTTTATTTAGATGATATAAGTGGTGTGTTGTTAGCTAGTGTGCCATTTGAGAAACCCTTGCTAACTATGCTCACACACTCTGGCTGAATCACCACTCTAATGGGTGGAAGTTTTGTGTCTTAAACAATTTTTCAGAAGCCGAAAGTTGCGTCTTAAGCTGGAAAGTGAGTTAGAATTACAAGTTCAAGGATGAGAGGTGGATCTTTCACTCCTCTCTTACTCTTGTTTGTCAAATGTATACCCATGACATAGCAATGAAATCAATGATTTTTTCCTAGGAAGTTTTCGAAATATCTAAAGAAATGGTAACATAAAAATAGTACAAAAACTAAAACACATGGTAGAATTATTTATATTGATATCTCATTATTAAAACCATCATTCCAAGTTATTTTCCAAGCCATCCAAACATTGATAAAAAAGATTCAAATAAAATGATCCATGACTTATATTATTTTTCATCTACATACAATTTTCAACTAACGGAAGTCATGTAAATTCTGCACTTGAAGTTTTTGGCGATTTTCGTCGACATGTATGTTTTCACAACACGTACTTTAAAAACGACAATAGCCCGGCCAAGGCAATCTAGGGTTTCTTCTTCGCTGTCACCCATCCGTCGCC